CTTGTTCATGAGCTTCATTTTGATGTCATGCCAAAAGTTTTCGACGGGGTTGAGGTCTGTTAACTGTAATGGCCAGCACCTAATACTGTTCTGGGAGTGCCTTTCTATCACTATATTGGTCTAGTGGCGCGGTACACCATCATCTTGGTACTAGAACTCATCTCCATACCCTAGCAGATGAGCCGATGGTATGGCCCAATTGCTCAAAACGTCAATGTAACCTTGGGAATTCAAGTTTCTATGCCCGACCTTCAGAATAGCAGGTCCCTGGTAGCTCAAAGCACCCCATTCCATAATTCCAACACCTTGAAATATCACTGTTGACTTAACATATTTGTCCAATAGAGCTTCACCTGGACGTTGTCTGGTACATGATGAACTTTCTCTCATCGATGAACAGAACAGTGGACCAATTAACCCATGTCCAGTCAGCATGTACTTTAGCAAAAGCCAAACGCTTCTCTCTATGAGCATTGGTCAGTAGTGGCTTCTTAATGGCTCGATGAATCTCTAATCCAACTTGCTGAAGAGTGTGACAATCTGGGAATGTGAAGCATTAACTCAATTCCCATGACCTCTTGAGCAATGGAACAATGAATCTTTTGCCTTATAAAGATTGCCTGATAAGCAAGGGACCATCTCTTAGTGTAGAGACCTTTGGGCGGCCCAATCTAGGTTGATCATGGTGACTTCCAGTAGCCTCAAATCGTTCAAAGACCTTGTAATCAGTAGGTCTGGAAGATGAAAAGGGAGTAAAGCGCAAAATAGACATCAAGAGCTCATATTGTTCTTAAAAAAGAATTTAATTGTTTTCGGCAAGTGAAAAAATGGTCAATTTAAGTTACTTGTATTCCTATTCTAAGGATGTTGTCAATTTCTGAAGCAGCTACTCCTTAGCTTCTCGGGGTTTCACAACACACTCTGTCTTCATATGAAACTATTGTATTGTAGTGGAATATTCACTGGAGTGACCATGGAAGTTATGTTTATATTTGGGCAGACAAGTTTTATGGATTATCAAAGTTTTTTTAAGTGATCGAAATCACTAGTTAGTTATCAGTTTTCTCTAAAAATATGTAAACCTGTAAGTTTGTTATATAAATATGAAAATGTTATGACTTTCTTAACATTTTTATGCCAAAAGATAATAAGTGGTGTATGTCAAACAATTAAACTGCATTTGCTGGTTAGATTTTGTTTATTATTTTGATCAAGTTAATACAAAGATCAGTGAATTGTTGTTTGTCTCCAGACTTTTGATGGGCACTGATTATATATTCATACATACAGTAAATTCTCTGTTAAACAATCCATTTCTTCTTTTGTATTGAATGTTTTATCTTTAAATTTTAATGAATATATCTATATTATTTTATCACACAGGCCATATCTCGGACCCTTGCATCTAGATACTTAAGGACTAGTTTTGTTCTCTTCAAATTTAGATTTAATAAGTACATGTTTTAAATTAGGGTTTGCACTTAATTATTTGTGTACTGTTTATATCGATTTTAAGATAGTTATCGCTATCAAGAATTTCCATATTATTATAAGCATTCCAAATACAATTCGTTTCTTGTGGTTATGTGTAGAAAGATGTGACAAAATGGGTATATTTACGTATAGTAAAGTATATTCAAATTTTTAAATACATATACATATCAAGATAATTCATGTGTTAATGACACTGTTCTTAATTAAATGATCTGAATTATCTATCATACAGAAAAGTCTAGGATTGGAAGTTTGGAACGAAATGGAGTTTTCAATAGTTTTCTCGTGCTAACTTCTTTTAAGTTATTTCGTTTGGAAACAGAGAATTTTACATAAATACAATAGACACCTTTAAAATGTATATAAAGTAGAAATATCAGTACCTTTTACTGATATGAACTTACAAATGTTTAAACTTGATGATTTATTATTTCAGAGCGAAAATACTTTGCATGTAAGTTTTTGATTATAGTTACTATTTGTGTGTAAATTGTTGACTTATAAATGATACATATATTATTGAACGATGTAAAAATGTATTTAAATCAATCTTAATGTTTGAAATATTAAATGAATTACTTGATATTGACCATCGTGATACTGTGTTTCGAATGTATATTCTGCATAGGAAATTAAGCAATTATAAAACATTTAGGATGTTTTTCGTCTATTATATCATCTAGCATGTGACGTCACAACAACAGTTTATTCTGCAACAAATAAAGACGAAAAATTCGTTCATTTTCAAAGAGGAGGGTTACAGTTCGGCTGGTTTAATGGAAACAATTCGTACCCCCGTCGATTGATGAGCTAAACGGAATTTTTTCACAATGTTTGGTACACGGTCGTGGCTTTGCTTTGCTAGGTTGGAAATATTTTTGAATTTATTTATTTATTGGTTTGCTTTAAATATTCATCATACAGTTATACACGCTATCATAATTATTTATGATCCTATGTATGAAATTAATTAAAGGCTCCAATCAAGAATAGTAATGTTTTTTTTCTGAATGAAATATATTTGGATACGTATATAACATTATACTTTATACAAAAATGTGTTTTGTAGACGTCCTGAAATGAAAAACGTGATTTAGAAAAAAAAACATTCAGACATTATACATGTACATTTATATATTATATATTTATAGTAGAGTTAATTATATTTTAGAAAGCATTCTTACTTGATGACGAAATGGGCTCGAAGGGAATAAACACCTGTTTGATGTTTTAAACCTTTTTTAAAACTGTTCGTACAAAGATAGGTTGTCTATAACATTAAAATGCTTGTGATCGTTTTATGTTAAATTACAGTGTATTAACTTAAAATATTTAGAAAATAAAATAAACAAAAATACAAACCAATTTACACGGTTATGATCTGTGAAATCTGATCCATCTATATCCAGAATATTCTTCGCATGGTTTTTGACAATGTGCTTTTACAAAACAACGATGATATCCTATGTCTGTACAGAGTATCTGTAATCTTTCGCTGATTAAAATTGTTAAACAATCCTTTACTCGTCTGCATGTTCCAGTTTGACACATTATTATTCACATTACAATTACTTCCGAATAAAACGGATGTTTACTTTTTAACTATTCAACAAAAATATTTTTTAAGCGAAAGGTACTCCAGGGTGCAAACATCTAAATTTTATCGTGGTGAACTTCGAAAAAATAAGAATGAATTGCGAGAACAAAATGGCGGCCATTTTATTTTATTTCATTTAGAAAGTAGACCACGTGACTAGTTTTTATACTGTTAAAAAGCACTGTTACCCTGCAACAGTATAAAATTCTTAGTCACGTGGTTCACTTGCATTTACTGTAAGAATAACTCCCAGAGGCCCATTGGAAATTAACCTTACGAAAAAAGTGAAGTGGTAATAATACCTTATATGATTTTTTTCTTTTGCACTTTTTCTTTTCGGAAAAAAATGATTTTCAAAACAATAATCAGTAATAGGTCTTTGTGTTTCACTCAATAAGTTTAAGAAAGGTATACATTAACTGAAGATTCTCGTGGATATTTGTTTACCACAATGCTTTCTCCATATTTAACAATTGCTAATGATAGAATATAAAAACAACTTTCAAATAGAAAATGCTAGTTAATGTGTTACTGATAAACCTACTAATTGGAAAAGATATTGTTAACAACCAGTATAAAATATCCTTAATGTCCCTAGTACATAATGCACAAATCGATATTTATATTTTGAAAAAAGTCATGCAATGCGTCAGTTAGGCATCATCTATAAATATTCTTTTTAACCTTTCGAAAAATTTCATCCTGAAAAAAAATGTTATTAAAAAGATAAAGTCACTGTCAAGATATACATTGAAACGTAACAATTTAAACATTAATTTCAGAGCCTGTTCCAAGGTTGGAAGAAAATATTCCACTTACACTCAGAATATGTTACATCTCCGACAAAAATGATATTTCTGATTGTTACATTCTCACGAAGATAAAGACATTGATGAAAATTATATTAACGCCAGAAATTGTAAAGGAGAAATTCAGCTCGATTTTAACCTCATAAAACTGCGTGATTGGAACGAACTCATATGTCTTGGTAAACTCTGTTTGACATTCTCCCTTCACGTACTAGAAATTGACGTCTGCTTAATATGTAGTATGAAGATTTTTTAAAGCTCTTGCTCAACTTTCTCGAAATAAGGAAAAATATCAGGGCAATTGCCAAACAAGTTGGTATCTTATTAAAAGCTTTGGTACCCAGAGCCAAACTTGTTGCATTGGCTAATGTGATCGCTCCAGGCAAGCAAAACAAATACATGTACTTAATAATTTCTTACAACATATTGTTGCTATAAGTTATCTTAGCAAAATTTGTAATATTGTCTTTTTTTTAAAGTATTCATTACATCAAATTGCCAACAATTTTTATATAACGACTGAAAACTATATTTATTGTGCTTGGGCCGCTACAAAGCTGCATTATATATACTGAGAGTCTTGCAAATTCATACACATATCGCTCAATCATCTTTGTAGTCATTGCTTTAGAAAAAGTTCTTTTACAAAACCCATATACCCATGCACAAGCTTATCTAAATTTATCTATTTCTTGATGTCATGTTCGTAATGCTTCTGTTTTCATCTGGATTTGAAAAAAACACGTCAAGCACGCATTATTTATTGTATATCATGAAAAGGCGTTATCGTCGTTGAAATAAATGCTAGTCATCTTATTTTGTAAAACAAAAAAATGACAAATTCTTTTTGCAATGTCTATGATGTTTACGGATATTAGGTGGTGCTTCTTTAATTTTAAGTATTGCATTAAAACATACATTTGCAAAGCTAAGAATAAAGGCAGCGATGTCTAACAAGATAGAGATAAAAGTACAGTGTCGTCAGAGGCTTTTCTATAATTGTCTTTTGCTTAAAACATAATTATTGTAATCACTAAAATGATCATCTATTTTGTTTGAGTTACAAGTTATTTGTTTCAGTTCATCAGAGTTCTGTGAAGCCAGAAATTGGTCATAACATAACATATTACAAACAAGATGACAAGACTTTTAATTACTACAGTCCTTTCATACAATACAGGTGTGTTTTTCCTGTAAAAGATGACATGCTCTATAGAATAAATTGGTAAGTTTATAAATATTGATAAATGAAATCTGAAAAAAATGAATTTACCTTTCGAAAAATAAAAATACCTTTGACTGGCGTTGCACATCTTTTATTTGGAATGTGCATCTTTGAAGGGTCAGTTAAATGTAAAAAGAAAGTTATCTATAACTCGTTTAATTAGTAATGAATTGGACAGTACTGAAAATAAATTCAATCTTATATTTTAAACTAAGATACAACATATCTTTTTTTGCTAAAACATCTTTGAAAATATTGACACGATTTTTTTGGTTTAGTATTGTTTGCAAACAAACGCAATGATATAGCATCGGTCCTTTTAAAGACAATAGGGAACTTATATATTAATTGAAATGTTGTTCTTAATTTAAAATTAGATGAATTAGTCTCAGGCTAGTGTTTTTTCTAAAGGTATGTAAATGGCACATTGCATGCCCAGTTGGGCCCGTCTAGAAACCAAGATGAGCTAGTTCTAAAAGCAGAAACTTTCAGCTCAAATGGTCATACATATGAGGTAAAGTTATGTTTAGTTTATCACAAATAAGTTCATTCATTAATTTTACACAAATTGAATTAATCAATTTTACCAGATATAGATTTTTTTAAATATTGTAATAGCTGTTAAATGCTGTCTTCGTTAGGAAACATATGTTAAAAACATTATAAATGAAACAATGGCAAATTATTCTGACAAAACTGTACATGATACAGACTTACTTTAACTTTTCAAAGGCATTGCCATAATAAGAAAAATCGCAAACAGTATATAATGTGTCAAATACTAGTATCTTAGAGGAAATATATGAATCTTGTTGCATATTTTACAGGTACAGTGTGGTGTCATCACAATAGTTGGGAATGACGAAAATGAATTAATGAGCTTTGTATTAAGAGCAGGATGGATGGTAAATAAATGTTGAAATCATAATATAAATTTAAAAAAAGTTCAAATAATATGGTCTATTCTATCCTATTGTTCAGCATATTTTTGTTTAATGTGTTGAGAAATGCGTGATGGAAAGACTGCGTGGTTTTTTCAGTCTGGTGGCTGTAAGAATTTCCCCGAGTTGTTAAAATTCCGATTTTGTTTACTTTTCAGCACGTAACCGTTGAGATGTCTCTTCACTTTCTGTGTTTACAATATGTTCTTTCGTGACCCTTGTGATATATTGCCTGCTTTTTATATTTGTAGTTTTACCTCTTTATGAAACGAGGCTTCATCACTCTTGATCACTTATAAATGTTTCTGTTTTATTTAGCTGTGTTAATTTATTCATGTTTATGGTACATTGCATTCTTTTCCTTGTGGACATGCGTTGCTTCTCACGGAAGGACACATAAGAGGTGTCACATTTAGTAGCAAGAGAAGATTAGAATATATTGTCTTTACATAATTAAAGCTATGGTTTATAATATTCATGTTTTACATACAGATTTTGGATGATTCTATCACTTTAAGCAAGAATGAACATGCATATGTATACGTAAAACAAACGATACCTATCGGCTGCTACTATAACGACAATGAGGAATCAAATTGTGAAGAAGAATTGATCATTGAAACTGAATCAAAAGATGCATGTACTGGACGTATTAGTGTACAAAATGATAAAATACCAAATGAATCGTTTATGAAAATAAAGGTAAATAAAATAAAGATTTTAATCGAATTATTTTTAAAAAGCAACGTTATGTTTGTAATAGTGGTCAGGTTCTAATGAGAATCAATGCTTTACACGGAGACCAAACGATCACAAATTATAACTAGAGTAAATTCTCAGGACTCAGTAGATTTATATAAGTGTCTCTATATAAAGATGATGGACTAAACAACAACAACTAGTAAATTCATATCCAATCAATGCTTTTAATATATGAAAAGCCCTAACAAATTTAATGAGTATACTAATCAAATTATATTTAGTTTTATATTAAGAATAACTATATTTATTATTTGATTAAGATTATGTTTATGATATATTTTATATGTGGTCGATTATAATAAACGTAAACGTTTGAATTAAGGACTAAGTCCAGTTTAATGTTTCAAGGCTAAGCCTTGTTGTACTGACCAGAGCAGGTACAGTACCTAACCTAGCTAACATTGTCAAAGTCAGCTTATTTATACAATTCAGTATTCACTGCAACAATTTGATTTGTTGAGAATAATATTGTATATACCATGCAATAAGTAAGAAAGACAGTGTAACTTTTAACTGTTAACTTAGATTACCGTAAATACCCATCCTATTACATGTTAATCTTTAATTTTTAAATACATTTCTTTATAACTGCCTACGTATAGCTGTGGACATCCGACGAAATTGTTGGAAGATATTTTCTTTTAAATATTTGGCTTGATATTTGTTACTTAACACAATTTTCGCAACAGATTGAAAGACAGGTAAAACACGAATCATATAAGGCTACTTTAGTCAATAATTTCAAATTCCATTTGAGTTTAACATTTAAGTGGCTTCAAAACCTTAGTTATTCTGACACTATGTTACAATACTCATACAATCTGAATATATTTTCAATTTGAAATATGATTTAAATATGGTCTCTTTGTTTTGTTCATTTAAACTTTGGTTATAAGATTTGAGAATTGATTATTTTTTACAAATAACAGAGTTTAAAGAAAGGAGAACAGTGGACCACAATCATACACAAGGCAAGAATAACAACTGTCGACAGTAACTATGACGATGCAACAAATTTTGACTTACATGTACGCGTCACCAACAGGTCTGGTCAAGACAAACAAATTCCAGTCTTATCAAAGGTATTGTAAACACAAATACTTGTTTTATAGTTTCTTCCTACGCACCTTGCCTAATTCTACCACTTGACTGTTTTAAATCATAGTTTCCTTACATTCTACAAAATGCGTCAGAAACTATAAGTAAAGTAAATAATCATAATACCAGGGTAGAACCGATCTAATATGCAAAATGTGATTACATTTGATTATAATACAAATTATTTTTTTATCTATCATAAACATTGTTCCTTATTAAAATGCGAATGCTCCCTTTGAACTGAATTTTTTAAGATAATTGTGTCTAAAACTTCATTATCATCGGAATTATGCTTTACAATATCTTTACATTTTATCACCAAAGCAATAATATTATACTTGCGACTTATTTATGTCATTGAAGAGTTATAGCTACTAAATTAAATATGTAAGGATTATTTGATTATATAAAATGGGCATTACTAACGGGAATAAACAGTTTCTTTCTAATAAATTATATTAAAGTTTAGGTTTACATTGATGTTCATAAATGCTCTACAGAAACCTTTATCAAACTATTTTTGTTTAAATGAAAGAAAAAAATCTTGTTCGGAATGTCATTTTCTGCATTTAAGCTTTGATCCTTATTTCAATTAGTTACTATATTGGTTGTTTGTTTAAGATTTTGTCATTTTTTAATGTTCCTTTCTCATTTTTGTCTTTTCAGGATATAGGAGTTATTCATGTGAGTTTATAAATATATGTGTGTGTATCTTAACTCATAACACTATACATGTATATCAAATGAATATGGTAACTTAATATACCGAACGTTAAAATATGAGAATGGTTTTAGAATATGCAGTGTGATCACTTTTTTAATCACATTTTAAAGGTAAAAGTAACAAACAGTGATAGACATCGGAACAAAAGATGTTACTCACACGTTGATCCACATATGAGAACAGTAGACGGATTGTAAGTGATTTTCAAATACATGTAATTTTCTTAAACTGAAAAAACAAATGTCACAGCTTAATTTCATCTTTTTCCCACTTTTATGTTTATTCTTTTAAATTGACTTTTAACTGTTTATAATAATTTTATTCATATCATTTAAAAACCATGTTCAAGTGTGTTTCTATACTGAACTGTGCATTTCCTCACTGCTGGCCATTTTGGACCATTGGTTCAAATTCGTTTATGCGTTTAGTACGATTTTGGTTGGTGATGATGAACGATGATGCTTTTCATATACCCATTATGGACAGGATTAATAAATCCAAGCCTCCAAATTCGAAATAATTTTGTTTTTAATGCAAGCGAAAGGTCTGACATTTCCTGAATTTACAATAAGAAACCCGCTATGACAAAACTCCTTTAAAAAAATCTTTTTTTTTAAACATTATCATTACAATCATTATTTTCATTAATCAAATAATCACGTGTTTGTTTTCAGGTATTACGAGGCTCAAAGGGAAGGTGACTATATGTTGTACAGGAACAAAGATTACCAAACAGAGGCAATAAAAATTAATAGAACGTGTATAGAAGATAATTGAATCAGTACAGAAGTTCAATTTGTCTGTAAAAACTTATATTAATTTTATTGTATAAATAGCTATTGTTGATTGATAGAAGTGCATTGTCACTCATTGAAATTAGCCAGTTCATTGTCAAAGATAATTGTTTCTTATTATGTAAATATAATACTAGTTAAATAAATGGAAGGTAGACTTAATAGTATTAACAAAGAAACTACGAGGAAATTTTTGGAAGCAATAAAATAATAGTAACTGTAAAATATTTCTATTTCAGGTTCAGCAATCAGCTCGGTATTGTTCCCCTGGATCAAACAGCGGACCTGTATGTGCATGTGGAATAGCAATAGCTGTTGGAGCTGATACTTTCATCTTTAACAAATGTTTCAACACTACATTCAAATTTGACTTACGATGTGAAGACGGCGGCCTAGTCGATATTGACGAAGTACATGCTCATCGTTATGTGGTTTGTATTTATTTTGAAACAGTGAAAGTTAAGAATGAGAATAGCATGAAAAACTTCCAATCCATCCAATATACGTGGTAATAATTATGATAAATGTTTAGTAAACTTATGCTGTATTTTTGATATTCATATACTTAATGGTCGTTTTCAAAGCGATAAAAACGGTGAATTTACTTGCTTCTCAAATGATGGGTCGAGTGTTGTTGATTTTATGATAGCATCTTCTTCTCTATTTTATACATTAAAGATTTTGAGGTTCTTACTAGAGATGAATCTGATTATTTTCCTATATGTTGTACTTTTGTGTTTCATAAAAAGTCTAACAACGCAGATAGCCAAACTGCTCAAATATCATTGAACACTTTTGATAGATATAAATGGCGTGTGTCTGCAGGTACAGATTTTTTGCAAAAATTTAGGGAATTGTTTCATAACCACTACACGATGATAATGGAATCAATTGATAACTGTGTCAATTCTACGGTCGACTGTATTACTTCTATTTATAAAGATGCTGGAAAATGCATGCTTAAGAAATTTTGTTTTCATTCGTCTCAACCTCCGTGGTGGGATAACACATGTAATGAGTTAAAGGCAAACAAATACGCGGCGCTACGCACATTTAGATTACGTAATTCCTCGTCTGACTTACGAATATATAAAGATAAACGAAATAGGTTTAAAGACCATTGTAATGTACGAATATCTGAATATCAGAAATCTAATCGATTAGAACTATTATCAAACAGTAACAACCCAAGTTCTTTTTGGAAATTATTGAAGGAAGGCAAACCTGTTACTATGTCTGATCCTAGTATTTCTTGTACAGAATGGTTCAATTATTTTAGAGATTTGTTGTATGACGAAAATTCAGTGTTTGTTGATCCTTATGTTGGAAACGAACATGATTCCGCCGATGAAACAGCTCAGACATTAAATGAACCATTCACTTTGCTAGAAATTAAACATTCTATATCTAAATTAGTTAATAATAAAAGTTGTGGCCTTGATGGCATACCTTCTGAATTTTATAAACATACATCAGATGAAATAGCGCCTATTCTGCATACATTATTTAACAAAATACTCGAAACAGGGCAATTTCCAATATCTTGGAGAAATAGCATAATTACACCAATTCATAAATCAGGGCCAAGTAATAATCCTGGTAATTATCGCGGCATATCTATTACAAATACATTATATAAAGTCTTTACAGGTATTATAAATAAAAGATTATACGATTGGGCCGCAAATCAAAGAAAAATCGGTGAATCTCAGGCAGGATTTAGGCGTGGTTACTCGGCTATCGATAATGTTTTTTGTCTACAAGCAATGATTCAAAAATATCTTTCTAAAAAGGGTGGCCGCTTTTACTGTCGCTATGTTGATTTCCGTAAAGCATTTGATAAAGTGAATCATTCTAAACTTTTCTTGTCACTTGAAAAGAAGGGCGTTTTTGGAAATTTTCTTCGAGTTCTGAAATCAATGTATTTTCATCTCACTTCATGTGTTAAAGCAACTGATTTGTTTAACAATGTTATGATTACTGAATTATTTCCCTGTAACATTGGTACAAGGCAAGGTGATAAGACAAGTTCGACAATTTTTACATTATTTATAGACGATTTATCTTCCCTTTTAAGAGAGAAATGTGGCACAGGCATTTTCATTACAAATGCTATTCCTGATATTCTTTGTTCAATGTTTGCAGATGATGTTGCAAATTGTGCTGAAACTGTTACTAAATTACAACAACAACTTAATGTAATTGATCAAATTTGCTTGAACACAGGCATGGAAATTAATCTTGACAAAACAGAGATAATTGTATTTCAAAATGGAGGTCGTCTTCGTAATTATGAATCTTGGTCTTTTCGCGGTCAGCCTGTAAATACAACTGCTGTTTATATATATATATGGGTTTGTTATTCACTCCACAACTATCATGGAATGTAGCTCATGATAAATTAGCTTCACAAGCTCAAAGAGCAATTTTTGCTATCAAAGGTTATGAAAAACCATTTGGTAATTTTCCCATAAAGGAACACTTTAAAATTTTTGATACAATGATCAAACCTATTCTTTGTTATGGATCACAGATTTGGGGGAACTATAGAATCTGTTCATAATATGTTCTGTAAGGGTTTATTAAATGTTCGAAAAAATACAAATACAAGCATGGTGTTAGGTGAATGTGGTAGACTCCCAATTTGTATTACTTATTATACAAATTGCATCCGTTATTGGTGTAAGCTATTAGTTATGCCACCATGCCGTTACCCAAAACAATGTTATTTAATGTTAAAATCACTAGATGAAGCTGGAAGAACTTGTTGGGCTAGCAAAATACGAATACTTCTGTACAGTTACGGATTTGGTTACATTCGGATTTCTCAAGAAATAGGAGATGTGAATATTTTTGTTAGCATTTCTAAACAACGCATAATAGATTGTTATACTCAAAATTGGCATGATAATATTAACAATGCCAGTAGATGTCACCATTATTGTCATTTTAAAAGCTTATTAAATGTAGAACGGTATCTTCTAATAGAAATCCCTGTAAAACATAAGAAAGCATATGCTAAATTTCGATGTTCAAATCACAAACTTAATGTTGAAATCGGTAGGCATTTAAATATACCTTTTCAAGAACGCTTTTGCAACTTTTGTCTTGAAAATCATTTAACTTATCATATTGACTGTGAATATCATGCTTTTTTTCATTGTAAAAAATATTTAGAAATTAGAAATACCTATTTACTAAACTGGTATAATTCCGGAAATGAACTACATAACTTTTATGAATTACTTTCATCAAATGATATTTTTATAATTAAGAAAATCTCTACTTATATTTACCACCTCATGATATCTATAGCACAGTAGCATTTAAATGTAATGATTGTCAAAACTTGTAAAAGACACAACCTTATAATGTTAAATATCATATTTTGTATGACATGTATTTTGGGCCGGTGGCCTTTATTTACTGAATAAATCTTTTGACTTGACTTGACTTGACTACATCAAGCTCGATTTTCATACTTATCATTGAATAGGTTATCCAAATATTATTTTAGTTTTAGTTTAGGGAACATCTTTAACTCTTGAACAAACTGTCCCACTTAAGAGACTGGGAGAATACAATTTAAACTTCATAGTAATCTGATTTTAATTAAGGTATGAACGCCTATTGGTACCATCATTGACGTATCGTTTCATGGGTGGAGTAACACAATGAACATTGATATATACATGTCTGCTAAAGATTACGGCAATGTTGATGGATTATGTGGAACATTTGATGGCAACAGAAGCAATGATCTTCTTCACAGAGACAAGATGACAATATCAGATGACGACAATCTGAGTTACCGCTTCGCGGATAGTTGGAGGTACAGGCTAGTCATTCTTAATAACCCCTCACTTTAGTAGATATTGCAACGTTTATGATTGAAATAGTTTAAGTTTCATATTGATACATTTGTGTTTCAACAGATGTCACATAAACACATATTTCAAAATCATGATTAACATGTTAGACCTGCCTAAGGTATACAAAAGCGAGGTTTGTCTTAAAAATGTACCGCTTGACAGTTTGTCTGCGATATGTAGGCTTAATAACCTCTGATCCTCATTCAAAATACAGTTTTATTAAGTTTTGTCCATTGTTTCCCATATTTGCGGGAACATGCATTCCTTTATTTTGATGCATAGCGTGCTTTCCTTGGAACGTGTCACATTGAACTTCTATAATAAGCTCCGTATGAACACATCTGCGGATGTTTCTCCTTTCAAAATTTCACAATTATATGGTGGTCAAGTTACATTATGGTCAAATGTTGAATAATGCTTAAGCCGGTGATAGAGCGTGGATCGTTGCTTGCATTTACTACTATTGTCGATGAACAGGCGCCTCTCCATACGAGAGGCAACCTGGGTAGGTCCTCCAACATACCTTTAGATACATGTTGTTACAGAAGAAGTCCTTACACAAACTAAAGCAAAAGCCCTTAGCGGGATTCCAACCCCAGTGGTAAGGGGCATATGGTTCGGAGTCAAAAGGAATACATTTTGTAAACTTTAAAAAACTTTTAAATGCCTTTCACCAATTGGTGGAAATGTTTAATGCGTGAGGAAACAACAGGCCCATATCAGAGCAAATACACTATTTGTTTATAAGAAAGATATTTTTTCAGAGTATACGTGTTCCATTAATTTAATAAAGAACGCGAGATTGATAGCTAAAAAGTCAAATCCGATTTGTTGTTATTACTCAATAAATTTGAAAGTATTCTATTTTAAAGTTTATTATGGAATATTACGTATCTAGCATTCCCGTACGTTGTATAAAAAGAAATGGCCCTAAATTAAAGAAGAAAACTAGCTGAAGTAATTCAATTCTACGTTTTACTCATCCACAATTACATTTTTGTGGGAAACGAAAAATACTGTGGAGCCGGTCGTATAAATGCCACGACTGTCCCATAAAAGGGACGTTTCAAACTAGCGGCGGCTCTAGTTATATATGCGAACAAATGTTTATATGGTCACATTTCTACATTTAAAGCTATAACCACTGCCTTGAAAACTTAAGAATTAAGCCAATTCATGTCCGAATGACGTCAAACTTGAACAAAATGTCACTTAAATATAGTTAAAAGGGTTAATGGAATATATGGACAAACAGATGAAAAATTATGAATAAATTAGAAGAACAACTTAGCTTCAATAACTATTTTTATATGCTGCGCCGGGTGCGTGTTACCATGGTTATTCAATATCACAGGGAACACGCGTTTAGCACTATAAATTAATAAACTTATGCTAATATTGTAGAAAACATATTACGATCGCAGTACATAAAAAAATAGTCTAAATTGAATGAAATATGAATATGAACAGCTCGAGTTATGTTTATATAGGGACATATAACCATCAAAATTAATAGTATAAAGTTTTGAATCATTTTAAAATATGATGATTAAATGCCACATGGATAGATTTCTGAATACATTGTAAAACCCTTTCTGTTACCTTTGTATTTTGTAAATTTAACATTTTGTGACAGAAGCGCATATATCCAAAGAGATATAATCACAGATTTTGATTGCTAGTTAAAAAAACATTAAAAGTAACTTGCTTTTTTCTCCTTTTTGGTATCAGATTGTCGGATGAAGAAAACCTGTTTCAAACTGATGCGCGCTTGCTGACACCATGGAACACACAAACGAACGGGATAGCAGATCAGCCTTGTAGCAGACCTAACTCAATAACAAAGAGGAAATGTCAGGTTAATCGTAGAAATAGACGAGCAACTCAAATTCCCGTAAAACACAAATATAGAAGCGAGGCGTCTGAATCCCGAAAAAGAGTAAGTTTTTTAGGTTCATTATAAACTTGATAATATAAATTCTTCAAATGTTATTCACTTTGTAAGCTAAAAGAATAGTAACAAAATACTTAAGCCGGTGATTAAGGCTAGACCGAAGATTGCGTTTACCACTGCCGTTCTTAAATGGGCTCAAACCGAACCAGCATTATTTTCAATTTTGGAGTTCTGCAAGTTTCCAGTTCTTTCTTTATGGCTTTGATTTATGAAATATGTCAGAACATTAAAATATTTAATGTTTTACTGCATTCATTATTGTAATATGCGTAACAATTTCTGTCGTCGTATTTGAAATTACATTTTGTTAAATATTTTTCAGAGGAGCACATACAGTTTAACAAACGAAGAAGCATTTGCATTGTGTAACAGCTCGATTTATAATACTCCAGCAGTTATGCAGTTTCCAGACTATCTTGCGGAAGAAGATCCCGACATCATTGTTGATCAATGTGTTTATGATTTGACCGTATGTTGTTTGAGTGTGTGGACGTTGTAGTTTTTTTAAGCAATAAAGTATTTTTCAATCGTGTCAAAAAATAGAGCATAATACTGATGACTGACGTTTACAGATAAAAGTGTCTGTTTTATATTACGTAATGCTGTTATGCTCTATGCTTAGTAATCATTGTATGGAAAATATCATATTTTGTCTCCGACTAAAATATCACTAAATATCAATGCATAACAAAAGATGTGTATATCTTTTAGCATGGAAATGATACAGGTTGGATAGACGCGCATGTCACAAATGTCAACAATGTCGCAGATACTGTTCTAAACCTCAATCCTGTATTTGTTGCAAATAATACAGATAAGGTTAACACATTTCGTTCACAGATATGTTTGAACAATTGTAGTGGTAATGGTGACTGTCTTGAAACAGGTAATAATGTTATCACAAATAATATAAACTGCATGAATAGGTGCTTAACCATACACTTTCATGAATGTGTATAGTTGTAGTTATTTAACAATGATAAATAAACTATTTCTTCAAAGTAATTTCCTGGGATGAAAAATAATTACAATTGAATAGGATATACTAAGAATATAGGTTATGCGAACAAATGTTTATTTATAATTTGCCATTATACATCATTTGAGAGATACTTTATTTTAGCTTCGTCTGCTTCGGAGAACACATGGAGCAATTATGATTGCTAAGTTGTCGGTGTTGTTTCTGCAGTCGTTACTTTAATGTAGTCAAACTATTTGAAAGGTATCAACATGAACCTTCGGGCATTAAATGATCATGGTTAAATGTTATTGTAAGAGAGGATACAAGATCCTTAAAGAAATATTTTGAAAGTTATAATCATTTTTAAATTAGTATTTTCATTCAGATTAGAAAAGTTTCAGAACCACAAAAAAGGATAAACATGAAACTGTGAATACTTGTTTATAAACATAAAACTGTGAATACGTGTTTATCATTAGATTGTGAAGTTGTTAAACAAAGGACACTATTCTGAAAGAAATATTTGTTGAGTATTGCCCCTTCGTAATAGAATTTTTAATGTCAGTTTCCTCTCTGCTATTACCAACATGTATGATGATTACAAAGCGATCTAAGCTTTCAACATGGAACTCGAAACACTTGATTATCGTGACAAGTATAAGTGTTAGATAGAAGCAATACTTTTAGGAGTTACGCCCCATTGCCACTTTGCATTTTGCGTAAAGCCACGTGCGGTGCAGTTGTGCTTGAAATTCATAGTTAAATAATTAATAAATGATAATATATGTATATTTTTAATCATGTGTTAGGAGTATGTGAATGTAATGGAACATTCCGCGGACCAGACTGTAGTGATGACATAAGAATACCTCCTGTAGTTTATGGAATAGAAGGAAACGGAATCTGTGAAATCACAGAAGAGGATGACTGTACTTGTTTCGAAATCAGATCTGACAACATATTTGATGGTTTTATGTGTGATATAAGTCAACAAAGGGTTTGTTTCACATTTTAATCAGTGCCTTTATTCTAATATGATTTTTGAAGTTGATGATATAATAGACTTTTGACTACATGAATTTGAAGTAAAAATATTACATGTTAATATATTTATTCTCGTTTATTTAAATAAAATTATTATATCGAAATTTATAAATCTATATTTTTGAACTATTCATAATAAATATTGCAATTTGTGTTCAAAAGTAAATTTCAAAGTAAAGTGTTGGAAAGTACGATAATTCTCAAGTCAAAACATTACATTTTATAATAAATTATTGTAGATTATCTTTTTGCAAATGAATACTGGAAAGAATACTTTTTCATGACGTCATAAAAAGACTACCTACGGAACTTATGGTATGGTCTCATGAGATAATTAAACTTTTCCATTATATATATAAAGGTATATCTCAATGGTACTCAAGTTAAGATGGAACAATCTGTTCATACTGGCTACTATGAAGATATCTTCACTGGCGAGTGTTGCACACCTGAAAGTAGAAAAAGGCGATCTGAAGGAATCAACGATGATGATCATTTTGTTATCTCGTATGTTATTTCTGTCAGCAATGATGGTGCTGCCTATGGTGAAATCAACACCGTCTTTGTCTATGATACTACATGCTTGACACAAAGTACAAGTCAAGGAAATATCACCATTCAATTAAAGGTTAGTAATAAAGTTGTTAAAGTGTATTGGTTTATAATGAAAGATTTGTTATGCAAATAATTATTTTCATAGTATTAAGTATAATAACAATCCACGGATGTGTGACAAACATATATTTCATATATCTATTTATTTTTGTTTAGCATAAAACAAAATGTAATAGAACAAAATATCACTATAATTGTTATCACTTTGAACTTAATAAACATTTTTTACGAGCAGTATTTTTTTGAAATATCCGAATTATATATTTCTATTGTTTTTATGTGTCGCCTCTACAGAGTATTTCCGTCATATAGGGATCACTTCTACGTCTTCTGTCGTCAGCCCCCCCCCCCCCTCCGTCACAAAACTTGTTTGGACGTCTCCTCAAAACCTCCTGCTGCAATTTTATCCAAAAATTACAGGTACATGAGGTATGACCAGTACAACGTATTGTTGTGTATATTGTTGACATTTTCCGATTCAATGAATTTTGTCAAAGTTATGACCCTTTAAAATTTTCTTAAAATTTGTCCGGACTACTTCTCTTATACCACGTACGCAAATCCAACACAACTTTATATGATTGATATGTAGCTCAGGTACTTGCTTGCGCATATTACACGGATTTTCCGGTTGAAAGATTTTTTGCCGAGTTATGGCCCTTGAATGGAAAAGATGTTTTTTATGTTACCAGCTACACAGAATCTTGTCCGAACTACTTCTTATGAACTATTTAAGCAATTTCACCCAAGTTTTACAGAAATTTACAGTACCAAGCCTAGTCGTGCATATCACCGGATTTTTCTGATTCAATGATTTTGTCTGAGTTATTGTCCTTTAATTATTTTTTTTATAATTTCAACGAAACTTATCAGCAATGATTCACTCAAGTACTTGGGCATACTACACTAGTTTTTGCCGCTCGAATGATTATGGGCCGAGTAATGTCCCCCTTTAATGTTTTTTACTTTTAAAGTTTGTCGGGACTAATAATCTTATTCCACTTATGTAATTTAATGAAACTTTACAGAATTGATGGGTAGCTCTAGTACTTGCGCATGTGCTACGGATTTTTCGATTGAATGTGTTTTGACCGTGTTATGGCCGTTGAATATAAAACGCGATTTGACCTGTAAATGATGTGTGTGTCTCTTGCTACACAAAAACGGCAGCATGCAATTGGCTATCATGAGGCGACACATGTGATCACTGATCACCCTTTCATAAGATTTTAATTACTAATGTAAAATATGCCCATTGTTCACCTATCTACTTTAAGGAAGGACCAATAATATTTATAGATTTTAAGATACACGGATTATTATTCCATAATATTGTACACCTTAGTGATTATCCTTTTTCAATTAGTGTAAATTGTTTTTCAGGAATGGACACTTTGATAACAATAGGTTTCCATTACTTGTAAGCCTTATGACACGCTTAAGTACACAATGTGTAATCATATATGACAATGTTGGCAATATGCATGTAATTAATAGATCCTTACTCTGACCTTTCATTTTAATAACAATAAATTTACCCAAAAACATTGACATGTGCTCTTTTGTTAACAAATATGTTTTTGGTGAAATTCATATTGTATCCACTTATCTGATAATTAAAATTGGACAGGTCAGGGATCTATGCATTATATATAACTTGAATCATAGTTTGGGGACCTTTCTGTTGAAAATGCGTCCGAGTAAAATCGTATACATATACATGCACAATGCGTTAACTGGAGTGCAGGTATCAGTTACCCTCACTCTAGAGCATGCCCATTGATTGGTTCATTTTTGCTTGGGTTTACATAATTATTGTGACGGCAGAGAAAGGGCAAGCGACAGAAATATCATATTTAGATGCTCGTTAATTGGTTACTTTTCTCCGGGGTTTCATATTGTGACAACAGGGAACGTGTTTTTATGTTTGACTGTGATACAAAAGAGAAAGAACATCAAAACACTCGGCAATGTGATTAATACTCGGGAGCTACGCCCCCCTCGTACAAATCATTAGCCGCGTGTTTCGATGCTCTTTCTATTACTGATGATAAGATTTTTTTAAAGAAATAAATAACACAGGTAATATACAATATCTTTCAGAACTTCTATCATTATTATAAGTCTGAAATATATACATATGATGTAAAGCGACATTTATCTGGAAGAAAGACATAAATATCCTCTGAAATGACATTTATTTGGAAGAAATACATATACGGATACGTATATCCATTTAAAACTTGGAATGATAAACATAGTTATGGATACACTCGCTAATTACCCAATGAGGAAAGAAATCAAAGTAAAGCAACCTTAGCATATTGCAGAATATATTTCACAAATTAGAATTCAAAATATAAGTACTGTTATACTTTCTCAAAATGAGGATTATTTCAGAAATATTAATACAGATTTAGTGTTCATAACAGCAAGCACTTTACTTTAATTTAAGTTTATTTCTCCAATAGGATGGCTACTGCTTTATCAACGGGATGTGTGTAGTTCGTAACTTTTTGTCGGCGGTCGATTGCTTATTTTGTGATCCGGCATCAAACCTTTACAGATGGACAATTGGTGACTATATCTTATTTCTAAATTTCAAAGAAATTATTTTTTAAATAAATATGAATTACATTTACTCATCAAACCAACGGCATAGTAAAGTAAATCCTAAACAAATCTTTCTCGGAGGCCTGAAAAAAACCAGATACCGGTGCATATAGATTTATTACCCTTCCATATTTTTTCTGCCTTTTTGATTGGATATTGATCACCCGAAAGAAATTGATATTACCGAGCCAGACGGGTAATATACACACTGAATTTCCCCGTCGGGTACCCCATGTTGTAAACAAAATGCGCTGTGGCGATGCGGGTACGGTTTGATTTTACGCGATGCAAATTCCGATTTACAAGCACTTTTTAACTGTCAAATGATAAATATTTACCAAAATAGAGTAATGATACATATTCTCATCAGTATTGAAAACAAATATGGCCTTGTGAAAGTTTGAAAGTGCTTTCAACAGACTTCTCCTTTTCTCTTGTTTACATTCGTTAGGTTCGAGAGAAAATACGACATGTATTTATGTGACGTCATGTTGTGGTGAAGGGGTACCCTAAAGGGAATCTTATTTCGACGTTTCATTTGAAGTAGCTCAATGATTTGTTTTAAAATCGTCTTAAAGCAGCACGCCTCCAGATTCATCCTAATTTTCATGAAAATTTTGAAACTGTATTTAAAGGTAAAATATTGTGAAATGAACAAAGAAAGTACTTGACACATTACAATAGGCATTTAAAATCAAGTAAATTACCAAAAAGAGGTCAAAATATGCATAAATAGCCCCTACTGCGTTAGTAACGCAGTAGAAATATGGTGATAAATACTACAAAATACAGTCATTAATTGCACATAAGATATAAATCATCACTTGAATCTTTAATTTGTTTACTCAAAGTTTTAGTATGGTTTTTCCAAGTTTAATTTTCTTAAAATATTTTTAGTCATCTGGAGGCATGCAGCTTTAACTCGGCAGGGGAAGGGTAATACAATTATTATTTTGGTTTGGGAATGATATATGTGGATATATTACCTGCCAAGATAAAATCTTGACAGGTAATATATCCACATATATCACTCCAGAACCAAAATAACATATAATATTTCCTTAAATATGTTTTACTTTTGACGGGTCTTTTTAAAGAAAAATTGACCGAGTACTACGAAATAAGTTCAACGAGTTTGTACCAGTACGGAAACAGGGTTGTGTGATTTAAATTGAATCAAGCAGAAAAAAATAGGATCGGCCAAAACGTTGTCCGACATAATAACAGATCCTGTTAGAAAACTACAAAGCTTCAACTGGAACAAATACATGATAACTCAAGGATTCACATGGACAATGAAATCACTCGATCAATAAAATCGCTAAAGCAACTGCCGATATGCAAATAAACAAATTCATGATGCCTCTTAAAAACTAACTTCAGGCAATGAATAATTGCCGCAAACTCCAAATGAAAGTATTAATTTCACTCTTGTTCCGTCTAGTTTTTACCTATATGCTCTAATATAAGATATTGGTTTATATATACCATATAACTGTATAAAGTGCATAAGGGCAGTTTAAACTTTTCATTTTATGACCGTTATGTTTTGATGACTATTTTCATGGATGATTAAAGTACACATAATGTTGAAAAGCTTTGATTGATTGACAAACATTTCAGGTACCTGTGAAGAGAGAGATTCACAAATGACAACAGAAAGGATAATTGGAATCGCTATTGGGTGTACCATTGTTGTCGTTATTATTTCAGTCCTTTTTGGTTACCATGTGTGCTGCAAGAGATTAAGAAAAAAACGGTGATTAGTTGTTTTCATGACTGAGTTTATTCATTTTAAATGTTGAATTCTGCTTAAGCCGGTGCTAGAGGGCGTGGACGGTATCTTGCAATTACCACTACCGTCCATGATCAGGCTTAATGAAACCTATAATGCAAGCTTCTCAATTTTGTCGTGTTTGCATTTCTTCAGGGATTCTGTTTGTCTCTATGTTATCATCGTTTGTAATTCAAGAATAGTTTTTAATTAAAAAGATACCAAAGATGAAGGTGTAAATAATAATTAAGTAATATATCATGGTGTATTTGCCTTTTGTTTTGTTTTTTTTTTTTTCAAGTTTTTATGTCAGTGCAAAGGTAATCTTAAAACTAAAAACTTAATTCGACATATTTTTCTATTTGATTTTAGACAAGTTCACGACTCCAGCGTAAGGCTTCAAACAAAAGTGTCAAGTATACAAGCTCTTCCCGGAGATCTTCCTGGAGCTCTTCCCGGAGCTGGGAAAACCTCATTCACGTATAACAAACACAAAATATAGGTATACATTATTTAAGACGATGTAAAGTGATGAACAGTTGGAGGTTTAAGGACAATTGATATTTCGGGTTTTTTTGTTTTTTTTTTGCTGACAATACATTTATCATCGTGATACAATGTATATAGTATATATGAATGTTCTAATTGTCTGAATCATTACATATTTAAACACATGCAATTAAATTGTTTGATGAGGTTTTGCAAAGGTTTGTCATGTCAAAATTATAATTCATTTGGTAAAGCTTAATAGTATTGAAATGAAATTAGATATATTTTCTAAACTTTTAATGTGCCATTGCAAACCGCATTTAACATTTGCAAACGCAACAAGATGTTTTACAAAAGGCAAACCATTTTGTCTTTGGAATTTTTTTATAAAGTATCTTTTCAAATACTCTAAAGTTGAATCTGTGAAAATGGTCAGGTTTTATAACTTGATTCATTAAATACCGCCTTTCCTTTTTTGATATTGTTTATCATATTTTAACTGTGCGGATTGATAAAGAACAAAGTGGCAATAATGATGTAAATAAGACATTGATTTTCTTTCTGACTGTGAAAACTTATTTGTTAATTTCTTGTTATTTCTCATTAATATATCATGTTATACACATATTGTTTGAAATAAATCACCATCGTTATCCTTCTCATCGTTAGCAGCAGTAGCAGATCTCTGTTCTATCTGTCTTGCAAGTCAAAATTTTTTTCGATAATCAGATCATGGCCACCATAGGTCTATGACTTATTTTGGCGCAATCGGCTCATCTTTTGACGAACTATATTTTTTTTGTTTTGGACGTATTTACTTTTAGAGTCCAAAGCATTGCAGAATAAAAATAAATTATTCATTTTTTTTTCCCTTTTTGGAAAATTTACCCCAAAAAAGGGCCTAAAAAGATCTGCAAACAAAAAAAAATAAGTGCAAAGGTTTTCTAATTTAACCAAGATTTTAAAAAACATTTTTAAAATAGCTCTAAAAACTTCTTTCAAAACAAAGGGAAAAAAAGTATCGGGGAAAAACCTTTTCCCTTTACGTAAACCCACAGATTTAATGAAAATAATCCGAATATGATGTTTCAAAGGGCTTACCCCTAATTTGACATTTTCATAATTTTCACTGACAAATCTTGTATTTTTCCTCTGCACCTTTATTTTAAAAATTTTTTAAACCCCGCGTATTTCAAAAGGGTACTATCAAGCACTTTCAATCAGGCCCACTTTAATAAAAAATTATATTTTGCTTTCCCTTAAAAATATTTTGAACAATTGAAATAAAAAAAAATGAAACAAATGTTGAAAAAGATTCCCAAATGTGGGGATCCAAAAAACAGTTAAAAAATTTCAAAAAGTTTTTAAAGCGTTTTTTTTTTAAACTTTTGTAAAAATTTTGAAAACAACTAAAAAGCCCTTTTTCCCCATATTTATTAACATTTTTTTAAACCCGACACCTTTTACGAAACGAAATTTTGAAAACCCTGAGTCCCCTTTTCAGAAAAAAACGTGAATGGGAAAATACGTTGAACATATCACAATAAACGGCTTTTGACATTTAACAAAAATTTTGTTTATTAAGTCTCAATCAAAGTACACAAAAATAAAATTTAAACACAAATAATATGCCCCCCTTTTTTCCAAACTATAAATTTTATTTTACAATGGGTTTTATTTTATTATAATTTTTTCAAAGACTAAAAGTTTTTTAATTTCTTTTTTTTCCCTTAAAAACAAAATTCCCTTTCTAAATTTTAAAGGGGACCTATTGGAACTGGCCCCTGCGGGAGGGTTTTTGTAATCTTTTTTTTTTCTTTCCCCGGGACCCTTTTATTAAAAGTACAGTTCCAATTATGAATATAATCTTCCAATACTTTAGGCAATACAATATTAAAAATACTCTTGTTTTTGTATCGGATTTTCAACATTGCAAAAGCGTTCTACATTATACTTTTTTAAACAACGTACAGGCTTTGAAATTCCAATTTTTACATCTATGACGTAACTTACTACTTGCCCATATAAGTATTTGTTTATTTAACCTGCTTACATTCATATTTCTTAATCTTCTCAAATTTGCTTACACAGTTTTCCAACAAAAATATATTATAGGCTTCCGAGCCAATATCTCAACAAACCGCTGCATTTGGAGAATAAATTCCAATATCTCACAACAGTCAATAATGTACTCGTTTAAAATACAGTCACAACCAACCGATTTGAAACGTTTAAGTCGTTTGATTTCAATTAGTATTTCATCAACAGTGAAAGGATAGTCTAATTCCGGAAATACAAAACTCTTTTCAGTAAATTTATCACTAGAAACAAAATTGTTCTAAATTGTTCTTCTTCACTATTATTGCAATCCGAAGTTTTATTTCTAAAACTTTAGAAAAAAAAATCTAAAGAAATACCATTATCAAAAATTTTGTCATTATTTTTAAAATATTTCTACAAACCTCAAGGAGTATTACTCTTCATGCTTTCAATTTCAATCATTGTTCAACGTTTTGATTATTTTTATAACATATCTTGGACTAACATAAATTGGCTCTTTATCGAAAAATATCGTCACTACTTAAAACGTAATCAATAACAGAACACCCGTTATGGTAATAAAATGTAGGTTTACAGCGATCACCTATTCTACCATTGATAATGCGTAAACCAGTAAATTTTAAATTACATAAATCAAACAATTTGATACCATGACTTTGTTTACATGGTCTATTGAGGCCCTAATAGAAGCTTGATCAGGGTAATAATCTGTGTCATCAAACAAAGTATTTATAATATCATTTATTTCCTACCCTGCTATTTAGGTCTCGTAAAATATATATTTCCCTAGCAAAGAAAAGTATGAAATGTCATTTTTCAAGTATTTTAAATATTTAAGCAGGCGAATATACGATGCACATAGCAATACGCCTTGGTCAATATTAAAAAGACAAGATATAGTTTTAATCAAATTATAATGTCATAGCGATTTCTAACAATCTGAATACCGTTTTCCAAATGGATTTAATATAAATAATAATTCCTAAAATACACCGAAGTGCATTACTATGTTAAATATTTATATTTATTTTACACTTTGGTCGTAAAGAGGCTATTCGTTGTCAAAAATCCAGCCTTTGAAACTTGACAATGCATACTTCGGTTATACTTAACAGATTAGTAAAAATCTAATTGCCGATCCGATAGTTACATACTGCACTGGTGTGCATTTTGATTATCTCGATTTGATAAAATGGAATCTGTAAACATGAAACTTAGATAAACTGCAAACTGTATTTAGAAATGTATAACTTCAATTTGCGACATGTAGAAATGTAAACGATACACGTTTAATGCTGTGCATCATGACGTTGAAAATGTAACTGCATCAGTTGACAATCTCAAGTTGACAACTCCACACTTTCCTTTTACATTCAAACGCGATTAGCATTGGCAAACGATTTTGCAACTTCCACATATGGAATTATCACGGAAATAGACAAAAATTAATAGGCGGAGCAAATTTTCACGAAAGCAGAATATAGAGAGAGGCAACTCTTGCTGATACAAAAATATTTCAAATTATATAAAACTATTATAAATTTCACATTCATCAACTGCATTACAGTTGATTTTGAATATCCTCTGATTTTGTTAAAACGTATTCAAGTAATGCAAAATTAATAAGATATAATGCAACAATGTAACAACGTTTATACTGATAATGAGCATAATAATATGCAATAACTGAGGTTGGTGAATTAACACAAGGGAATGTTTTCCATATATAATGGCACAAACCACTTTTTTGACATCGAAAGGGTTTGTGTGCTTTCAAACGTTACAAAGGTAGTACTCGTACGTATGTCATATACATTCAGCAAACAGTACTAGAATGCGATACATGGAAGTCACTTTTGGCAGAAAAACCCAAAATTTTGACCAAGTGTATAACCACGAAACTATTCAAAGTTTACTATCGATAATTTCGTTGTATAACCAAAAGCTTGTGAATTTGCGCCATGTTGAAATAAATATTCAGTGTATCCTAGCATCTCTGTTTACCTCTATTTGGAGGTATTTTGAGTCATAGGATGTGATTTAGCCCTTTATTAATAAATATGTGTAAGCTGACGTAGGTTAAGGTCTTCTTTTATGCATTGTACTGAATCAATAAAAAGATCTGTGTAAACATGTTGTCTACAGCTTTTACCTAGACTTGCTGTCTATGTGATCAAAGGCAGATGACTATTTTTATGTATATGAAATACTACACATAATATTTATTAAGTTTTGTAAGTGATGGCTTTCTTAGAGATAAAATAAACAACATATACTCGTACATACATTGATAATCAACATACATCCCTTTGGACTTATTTAAATATTATTATTAAAAACATAAAATGGTAAAAAAATTACCTTTTTTTCAATAATAATATTTAAGTACGTCCAAAGGTATGTATGTTGATTATCAATGTATGTATACCTTGTTAATTTTATCTATATATACATTATGGTAAAAATATATCGTTATGTACGAAAGGGTACATACAACTTTGGTTTTAATTTTACTATTGTTAAAAGTGTTTTATTGTCAAGTCATACGCACGAATTAAGGTTACTAATGTAATAGTAAATGCTACTACTAGGAAAGACAACAGCCAGAATTTGTTCTGTATAAGTATTTAGTCGTATCGAAATCTCTATCAGATGTTGACTTGAATATTTGAAAGTGGTAAGGTAGCACCTTAACTGTCTATGTTACTCATTCCTACGCTAATTGGAATACCCTCAGTAAAATTTATTTGTCGTTGAATATAGTCTTATCAATAGTTTTTACTTCCTTTAAAAATATTTAACCTCAGACAGTAAGTAACCGGGTGAGTCTTTTTTTTTTAAATTTAGTTTCTTTTTCTAGGAAATGTGGTATCTACAACGTTTGAAAACTTATATGCCTTTAATTATTTAAACTCCGCTGATGTTGATTGAATAAAGGCATAGAATGGCAAT